GGGAGAATAAATTAGCAAAAACAATTTGTAAAACAGCAACTAAAAAAACTAAAGCCTAAAAGAGAACTACCATATGATTCAGTCATCTCACTCCTGGCTATTGTTTGTTTGTGTGTGTGTGTGTGTGTGGTACCAGGGATCAAACTCGGGCCCTGGTGCTCACAAGGCAGGCAGCGGGACCACTGAGCCAAATCCCCCACCCACTCCTGGCTATTTATCTGTTCAAAATGAAGCCAGCACACAAGAGATACCTGCATTCCCATGTTTATTGTGATGCTATTCACAATAGCTAAGATAGTGAATCACCTCACGTGTCCATCAAAAATAGATAAATTGTCTATAAATATACATAAATATATATACACACACATATGTATATTCAGCCTTAGAGAAAGAACAAAAAGCAAGTTGAGGTACCTTTAACTTATCTCATGATCATCGTATATCTTTTCTATAAAATTGTCTTCTAACTCATTAATCTTTTCATTATCTTAGATTTGCCATTAAACTCCTATGTGGAGTTCTTTGCTTTATTTATTTAGCTTTAGCTTTAGTTTTTTTGATACCAGGGATCGAACTCAGGACCTTGTGCTTGCCAGGCAGGTGCAGTGCCACTGAGCTAAATCCCTGGTCCTCTTTGCTTCATTTATTATTTTTCAGTTCTGTTTGGCTCACTTGTATAGATTCTAGCTCTATACTGTAATTCTCTTTATCTGTTTTTTATCTTCTCAAACACAGTTACTTTAAGTCTAAATCAAATAACTCCAATATCTGGATATCCTAGTATGCCTGGTAAATTTTGACTTAATGCTGGACATTATGTACTCAAAATTGTAGAGGTTCCAGTCTCCCTCTAGAATGGCTCCCAGAAGGTATTTTAATAGGTAGCAGGGGAGACACCCTCAACCCAGTCAGGACTAAGTAGATTCAAATCTGGGGTGCAGTCTTTGTAACATTACAGTTTCCATTTCCTCCCTGTTGCTAGAAGCCAGTTTTTCAGGAGAATCAACTGAAATCCTCCCTCTCCCCCCCCCCAACAGGGTCTCACTGTATAGTTCAGACTGACCTTGGACTTACTATGTAGCCCAGGCTGGCCTCAAACTCTGTGATGATCTTCAACTCAGCCTCTCTAGTGCTGGGATTACAAGCGTGCACCTTCATGCCCAGCACATTCTTCTATTAGCCTCTTGTGCTAAACAAACAGCATAATCAGCAAATGCTCTGCTGTAAGGTCAGTGCCGAGCGTCGGGCTTTCTTGTTCGTGCCTTCTTCCTGAGGGGCCCTCAATTCTTGGCTGCCTTGCCAGCCCCACTCTCCTTTGATTTTTTTAGTTCTAACAGTTTGCCTGAAGCTCTGTGATACCCTTACAGTTGTCCTCTCTGTGGCTTCTTAGCTTCTTTCTCTTTCCCTTCACCAGTTGTCAACAATGCAACAATTCTTGGCTTCCTTGACAGCTCATACTGTCCAACAGAAGCGTGTGTGTGTGTGTGTGTGTGTGCTTAAAAACCTGCTTTTCTGCTTTATAACAGAAGCACAGTTCTGCTTATAAAGGGCTTAGAGATAAAAGCAGATCTCTATGTACTTTTTTCCACTGTTGAGTGTAGCTGAAAGGATCATTATCCTGATATTTGTTAATATATATCATTATCCTGATATTTGATTTGGAGATTCTTAAGAAATCCAGCACTGAAGATACCATAATCTTTCAAATAACTCCTTGAAAAAGGCATGGTTTTTATTCATCAAGTAAATCTTTATTCTTGTTTTCAAAAGACAGAGAATGTCCTTTGACCAAAATTAACTCCTATGAATAACAGTTTGCATTGTTTGGGATTTTGTACTTTCTAGAATGTTGTAAACCTACAATATTCACTGCACATATACTATCCTGTGCATGTTATATTTCCATTTTGTAGACAAAGAAGTCAAGAGACATACTAAGCAGGTTTCATTATTGACAGGGATAACCAAAATTGGGCTTTCTGATGCCTAGTCCTGTCTAGTACATTAAAGTGATCTCAATACAGCTTTGTTCCGCCATCTTGGGACAGTCCCCGAGGTGGGTAGATTTGGCAAAGTAAGTTAAACGCTCTCACCTTGTTTCTACTCTTTTAGAAAACTTTTTCCTCTGGTCCTCAAGTTTAAAAAGAGAACAGAAGATACTGTACTGTCAAACTGTTCCATAAATATCATGCAGCTTATGCTTCTCGTGATCCAATCTTTCCCTTTCCTAGGCACACAAACCAGGCAGAAATTACATTTCTGAGCACAACTACGTATTGCCATATACTCGGTTTATGTCAACAAAAATGGAAAAGTGATTTTTCTAGTCACACTTGACGTAAGACATTCTGCTTGACCTGAACTGTCATCCTTCTCCCTTTCAGCAGGTTGAAATAGGGGTGTAGTCACCCACCCAGTATAGACAATTCAAATAAAACATCATAAGGAATGGCTAAACCTGGAGCTCTGAATAACTTCATGGTGGCAACCACTTCACCAGCTCAGGCTGGCCCAACTCCTGAGTAAAGGAGCTTGCCTATATCTTGTCCATGTCCTAAATATCCATGGGAGGCTAAATTTAAAGTTAATAGGGCCATTAACATTTTGGAGGAAATTTCAAGGCAACACAGAATTCAGGCTGTGATATTCCTGGCTGCTTTTAGCCATTTGCTGGTAGTGAGACTCATGAGCAAAAGCAGAACAGAAAGATTTGACAAATGTATAGGCTGTCCAGAAAATAAGTACATGTAAAGTTGGAACTGAGGAAGGTGTGGTTGCTGAAGAATTAGCACCATAAAAAAAAAGGCAAGTATTGGCCAAGTATGGTGGTACATGCTACAATTTCAGCACCTGAGAGACTGAGGCAGGAGGCACAATTCTGAGACCAGCCGGGGCAGGGGGAGGTAATTTGCACAGAGATAAAAGATCCCTTGAAGGCCTCTCAGGAACTGGTCAGATCTCCCACCACCACCACCACCAAATCACAAGCTAAACATTTAAGTGTAAACTGGCTTGACAGACTGTGCTTTGAGAAAAGAGGATCAAGGCACTCTGCTGCCACAGGGCCCCTCAGAAAGCTGTTTCCCAAGATTCATTTTATTGCAATGCTGCCTGAGCAGACGCCACAGCAACCATGATCCAAGTGGGTGCAGCTACTGGTACCCCTAACGACAGACCTTGTAAACATCCACGTGGTGTTGGTTTTGCAGGTGTGCAAGAATTACAGGCTCACCGAGCTTCCCATCAGATCTCAAAGGCAGGCCTGGGAGGCCAAGCAATGTGTGACAGGGTCAGTCACTGTGGGCAGTCCCCGAGCAGGTGGCGCATGAAGCTGAGAATGAGACCAAAGCTGCAAAGAAGTCCTCAGGAAGTTGGAGATGCCAAGAAGGTGGTATGTCTGCTAGGGAAAGCAGCAGTGAGCACAGCCAGCCCAGGAGAGGTTGGGTGGGCTACAGCCAGCAAGGACATCTGATGGGGCCAGGCGAGCCCTTGGCAGCCCACAACACATCATCATGTGCCCCGGACGCCGAACACACAGCTATGGACTTGATGCTTGCCTCGCTAGGCTCTGGTCTGTTCTAGGCCCGATTCTTCCTTGTTACGCCTTCCTCCTCCCTTCTGGGGTGGGAATGATCACCCTATCCCATTGTGTCCTGGAAGTCTATAACTTGCTTTTTGATTTTTACAGGGACTCACTGCTTCTCAGCCTTTTGACTAAGATCCTATCTAAGAGTTGCCTTGAGTCTCAGAGGAGACTTTAGACTTTTGAGCAACTGCTGGAACTGTTGACTTTGGGAACTCTTGGGAGTGGACTGCATGCGTTTTGCACCGTGAGAACAGGAGCGGAGCTGGGATCCATTTGGCTCACTGTGTTGAAGGCTTCACTGCTGGCTGAGAGGCTGAGAAGCGAGGGCTCTTAACTTCAACAAGTAGATTAACTGTTCAGTGCCTGGCTCGGCAGACCCAGTAGGAGGTGGGGCCTAACTAGATGAGAAAAGTCACTGGGCACAGTAGTTTTCAAGGTCATTTTATGTTCCGCAGCACTTCTTCTCCGGCTTTTTCCTCTACTTCCTGGCTGCCATGTGGTAAACAGCTTTGCTCTACCACAGACTCTCTTGATACTGAGATAAAAGTACTTTACACTGAGATAAGATCCTCTGAAGGCCTCTAAGAAACTGGCAAGACACCATCTCAACAAATCACAGGCTAACACCCGACCGAAGTCTCATCACAAGCCCATCGGAATGGAGCCGGCCAACCATGGACTGAAATGCCTGAAACCCTGGGTCAAAATGTATCTCTCCTCCTCTAAGTATATTTTTCTTAGGTATTTTGTCACAGTGACAAAAAGCTGACATAACTCTGAAGGCAGAAGACCCCAGGCTCAAAGGGTATGGTAGTACCATCCTTGGATATTTCTTAATTCTAAGCAACCAGTAGTTTGAAAGTAGCTCTTCTGGGCAGCCTCAGCAGGAGCAATTGCAACACCTGTGTCAACAATAATGAACTGCCCGAGTCACCCCTAAAATGGATGCACATCCTTCTAGCTTAACTATAGACCTGAGCCTCCAAATCCATTTACACAGAGGTCAGCTTCTGAAAACTGAAGTATCTTAAAAGCAAATATTATGGTACAGAGGTTCCCATATATTTAATGCTAAGTAGTATGATGTACCCCATTTAGGTTTCCTAATTATTTGCTAAAGCCACAGCAAACATATATTTCAAGTACACTCCGGCAGAGGTCTCCTCCCGCCATCCATTTAAGCATAGCCTGAGGGAAAATGGCAAGCAGTGGGGAGCACCGACCGCCACTACCGCGGACGACAAGACGAGACTCTCTCTTCTCGCCCAGGTCTGAGTCAGATGGGATGCGTACTGAGAGTGCCAATCGATGCAAGTTAGTTTTTAAATGTGGTCAGAAAGTAGCAGACATTATAAGATAAAGGCATGAGACAAACCCTGTGAACGCAAGGAAATACTCGATGAAGTAGAAAATACCAGAAAAAAAAAACAGTGAAACCTGTGTCCAGCTTAGCGTCTATTTTTTTCCTATCACACACTAAATACAAAGACTGCACAAATATATCTTACAATGTCCTCACAACAGAATTCATCGGAAAATGTTGCTCCACGTCATCACAGGGAATGCGTACTTTTGAATTAGGTTTTCCATTTTCTTCCTCTTCTGTGTCTCAGTTTCCCCTTTCTCTTCCCAAACACAGGTCTGGCGGTCACCAGGACAGCCTCGGCTTTCTCCCCGCCGCTGTCACTAGAGCTGCTGCTGGTCACATCCCAGCCCTGCACAGGGACTTCTGGCCCTGGGTCCTGCAAATCCGGAGAGCTCATGTGTGAGTCTTCAGCCTTTTCTCTCCTTCGCAAGTTCCCCAAAGATGAGCTCCTGGCATCGTCACGGGAAGACGCATCGGGTGAATCCGAGAGGGAGGTGTGCCCCAGAAACCCGCCCCGTTTGCTCTCTTGTTCGGATTCCGAAAGCCGCTTTCCTGTCATGCTGGACACCTCTTTTGATTCCTGCGCTAGGCGTCTCTTCTGCGTTTTTCCTTTTACTTCATCAAGGATCTCAGACTCTTTCTCCTCTTTCTCCACAGCAACAGAAGCGGCTCCCATCTCACCGGCCACTTCTTCCCTGTCCTTCCTCAGCATGCACGTCACAGCTCTGTTTAATCTCTGGCTCTTAAGGCGTTTAGCATCTCGCTTCTCCTGCTGAGCTGCTCTAAAGAAAGAATCAATTCGGAGCTGTGTCTAAAATAAAATAAAATGAGAAGTCAGATAAGTGAAGTTTCCAAACCAAATTAACAAGCTCAACCCAGATCTCTCACATCGGATTACTAGTGTGCAGAATATTAATTCATTATCTCCCAAAAGGCGGTTCTTTCCCAATGATTAGACAGTAAGTTTAAGTAATTTGTAAGTCAGGCTTGAAGCACTTCCACTAACTCTAGAAAGTAAGTTCTTAGTTCACGTATCAAATAGGAAATCTCTTCTGAGGTACTCAAAGAGTTAAATACTTTTCTGCCACCAAATACATCATCATCTTCTTGGGAGCAGTAAAATTTCAGAGTCTGTATCTAAATCATACTGTCTGCTGTTTAAAAAACATATGAGAATCTCTCTTCTCGTCCAGCTCTGAGTCGGATGGGATGCGTACTGCCAGGTGTGGTGGCCCACGCCTGTAATCCCAACACTCAGGAGGCTGAGGCAGGAGGATCGCTGTGAGTCCGAGGCCAGCCTGAACTACACAGTGAGTTCAAGGCCAGCTTGACCTGCATAGCAAGACCCTGTTTCAAAAACAAAATAAATAAAATAAAAAATGAAAATAATTCCAAGGGGGCAATATATTTAAGGAGATACACCTTACTGTGAAAATGATTATTAGGTTGGTGTTTCTCAAAGTAGTATGAGCAGAAAAGGATACCTCAGTCCAGCCCTGAGAGAGATAGCAGAAATGAAGACTATTTTCCTCTGTTCTTCGTTCAAAATATCGTTTCAAAATGCACGTAGATGCCCTCAGATAAAAGAACTAACTGGCATTGAACAGCTGCCAATCACAGATTACTAAGTCTGCTCTTCCCTGAGCTTAGGAAAGAGCCACCATGATTACCTGCTGAACACTCAGTTGCTTCAGTACCGGTGACAGAGACTCGTCTGTCTTGGTCCTGCTCCAGCCGAAATACCGCTGACAAAACATGCAGGCAGTTAAGACAGAAATATTGTTGAAAGAATTGAAACAACTGATAAATAAAAAGGTCCAAAGAACCCACCCATGATTCCAATCCCTGGACCTCCAAAGATTTTCATATTTGTAAAGGTGAAAGTACCAAAACAATACAGCAATTTTAAAAATTCCCCCAGTATGATTATTTTGCAATAGGTTCTTTTCACTCTTCTAATGAAATTACTCAACATTTTAGGACACGAAGAACTAGTGACTAGGAAAAACAAGCTTAACCTAAAATAAAAGCAAATGTTAGATATTGTATATATTTCTTTGAAACAAAAAATAAATTGGAGTTCAATTAATTCTAACTCTTTAAACTTCTTTCCAATGATTATTTAAATGCACAGAATGGAAAAACAGTAATAAAAGGACCAAAGTTCATCATTTTTTCTATTGTCTTTCAAATAAACAATGCCAAAGTATGTGGTTATTTCTGTGATGATTTTACTATTTCCCTCTGAGGGGAGGCAAAAAAGGAATTTGTGGTCTTAGGACAACAGATGTTATGGAAAAGATGTTCTGTAAGTTCGAAACTGAACACATGTATGATTCAATGTCCTCTTATGTTTTAGGACATCAAGGATATTCTCTAATTCTGGCAAGGTCGGGGGTGCCCCACAGAAATGAGCTCTTCGAGTCGTCCACCACAGGTCTGAGGTATGCATCTGCCACCGCGGGGTTGGGAAAGCCAGGTGTGAGCTGCAACTTGCGCAGTTTCTTCTTCACCTTGGTGTCGTAAGGGTTGGGTCTTATCCTCTGATTCTCCCGAGCTTCCTGCCACCACGCTCTATGATGTAAAAGCAACAATTACGGATGAAGCAGTAAGACGTCGTAACTCACCCACTAGAGACAAAGCGCTAAACTTAAAACTCTGCGATGGAGATTCAAGGCCTAACTGCAGCACCCGTTATACGCGGGATGGAAGACTCATTTTATTACTTTTAGTATTGCTAGCCACAGGTAAAGTGATGGCAGACATCCATGGAAGCTGACTGTACTCGGTACTGTGTTAAAATATTTCATGGGGGCCGGGCGTGGTGGCTCACGCCTGTAATCCCAGCACTCGGGAGGCTGAGGCAGGAAGATCACTATCAGTTCTAGACCAGCATGGACTACGTAGTGAGTTCCAGGTCAGTCTCAACTACATAGTGAGACCCTGTCTCAAAAAACAAACAAACAAAAACAACAACAAATATATATATATATATATAATGTGTACAGGTACAAATTCCCTACAATGAATGTGATCACTATATATAACAAATATGTACTAATTTTTTTCTGGGTCCTTGTGCTTGCAAGGCAGATGGCGGAACCACTGAGCTAAATCCCCTTCCCTATATATGTATGTATATATATTTCATGGGTCCGGTACCCATACAAGCAGAATCCTGTGGTTACCGTCAGTGCATGAGGAAACTGAACTGAAACATAATTGCTCAAGTTTTCACAGCTGGAGCTGGTAAACTCAGACAAAACCTTCCTCCCCAGAGCGCTCACTCCTACTTCCCATACTTCAGGATGCACAGTTTCTCTGGGGCTCTCTCCCAGCGCTAATGGGGAAGTAATGCGTCCGCTTTGTTTACCCCTAGTCAAATTAAGTGACGGACCCAGGAATATCCAGTAAAACATTACTCAACACAAAGTATGACACCAACCGGGGGAAAGGATATGCGTAGAAAAAGAAGAGTAAACAGATTTTTAAAAAATAATAGAAGAAACTATTTTCCTATGTGCGAGGCACTGTTCCAAGCAAGAATTCAGCTGCTTGTTTCTGTTTAACCCATTTTTCAATTCTTTTCATTCCAACACTATTTTGTTATGGTGGCTTAAGGAAAACCGCATACTGTTGGGCGCTCCTCCCACCAGGACGGGAGGTCAGGCAGGCTCTGGCCGGCCGGATAGTAGTCAGTCAGTGGAGCTGTACGGGGCCTGGGACAATGGTGTCCACTTTCCCTTCCTGCCTCCTGGAATAGCTGCTCTTGGAAGCAGCTGCCCTGCGTGCACAAGGCCAGGTGCATGGGGAGTCACGGGGAGAGGCCCCACAGCTCCCCGGCCTGCTCTCTCAGCGACAGCACCACCCAGCCCACATGCGTGTGAGCCACCGTGGACAAGACCACAAGCCCAGCTGAGCTGTTCCAGCCGACACGGAACAGACACAAAACACTCCCACGGGGCCTGACTTCAGATTCGTGAGCAAAATCAAGGGCTGTTGCCGTCTGATGCCACCAAGGTTTTATTTAGTTTGTGATGCACCAACAGGAAAAAAAATTAAAAATTTATACCTTTGGGAAAAATAAATATCATCGCGGTTAAAAACATAAATATAATCCTCACCAATCAGTGCACTCAATGGACCCTATTAAAAACCACCTACATCTCAGCACGGCGGCTTGAGGAAGGCTAGCTAGTACTGTATTAGGAATTTGAGAGTGCGCAGCTCCGTTCATCTCCCCGTTGCAAGAGTGCCACCTGGTGTTGGAAAAACTAATTGCAGTCTTTGTTGCAGTAGCAAAAAAATTTTTTTTCAAACAATATACTTTATAATCCTGCTTCCAAGAGGGCACTGGGGGAATGCCTATAATCCTCCCCCACTCTCCTTGTAAATTTTCATCTCTGAGACAGTAATTATTATTGGCAGCTAAGAGAATCTCCTTAAAACACTGAGCTCACCAAGCCAAAAAACATTACTTCTTAGAGCAAGAGGGCCTGGCACTCACTGAGATGAACAAAGACTGGTTGCCTGTCAACCTGCCTAGCTGTGGGGACACAGCAGGGAGGGGTGACAACTGTGAAGAACGCGGAGGATTCACACCCAGGAGGGGAACTGCTAGTACTCCAATCCAGTCGGCTTTGGGAAATCTTGGGTCCGCTATGCTCAGCTCGCCTTTGCTCCTCACAAGAATCAACAGCTTACTTGTGTGTGAAATGTCCCTAAATGTAAACTCCAGACAGCTCAACAATAAAATTCTTTTAAAGAACACACCATCCAGTAATGCGAAATAGGAACAAAAGGGCTAAAGGAGTAGGAGAGAAGTGAGAGGGGTAGGGGAAAGGAAAGAAGGGAAACAAAGCATTTGTAAATAGGGAAGGGTGGAGGGGTTGAAAGGAGGGCAGGGGAATGGGGAAAAATGAGAACAGAGATGCATCATGTAAAGGTACAGGATCCCCATGATGACTGGAACTGTACTGTATTCCTAAAATGTACCAATGAACTTCATGGGAAAATAAAAAGAACACACCGTCCAGGTCCAGCCAAACACAGGTGCGACTGAACTCAGCCCGCTGGCCCAAAGCATCCCCCCTTGAAAGAATGAATGACAGGCTGGGATCTGCTAAAGAAAACAGGAAAGGAAGAAAGGGACCTTTCGGGCCCTCGCTCTGCGTTCCTCCTCAGCCTCCCGAGCCGGCCAGGGCTGAGACTGCCCTGTCTGGCTTCAAGGAGCTGGAAGATGAAACGCAAAACCTGCTAGAGCTGACTGTAAAAAGAACGTAGCACTGTTCCACTCTTGTTAAAAAAAATGTATACATACGCTTATACTAATATTGTGTGTGTGTGTGTGTGTGTGTGTATTTGGAGGATAATGTTAGAGAAAATCCTAAAATTATTTAACCCAAAATATTAATTGTAATCTTTTTTAATACATACTTTGTAATTTTTCTGTTATGTCTTTATTTCATTGTATAATAAAGTTATTTGTAGTTTTTCAAGTTATTAACCCGCAGTCAGTGATCTAGGAGCTATCAAATAACTTAGCCATGGTATGTGAATTTCCTCAACCCTAAGAAAAGTGGGAGTAGAGATTCCTAAAAAGCATTATTAAATGAGAGATACTGCTGTGTGTGCTAAGACCGGACAGAGGTCATTACAATAACCTCTCATTCCATTTCAGTGATTCTAATTGCCACGTCCTCAGACAAGAACATTTCAAACACTGGAGACAAAATTGATCTCTAAATTAAATTAACTCAGTTTCCACCCGAGTGTCTCGTCATGAACTGCTGCTCAAAAGATGCCATCACAATGCAATGAATATACTGAGTTGTCCACTTTCACTGACTGTAACTGACAAAAAAAGTCATCCATTTAAGGTATCAACGCGACTTGACATTCAAAACCATACATTGTGAAATGATTACTATAATCACGCTCGTTAACATATGATCACCGGACGTATTTGTGGCAATTCTTCATTTCTTCCACTTAGGACATTTCATACTAGCACAAGTCAAAAACTCCTCTCACAAAAAGCAAACTGCTCAGCACCTCATTCCCGGGGACAGATCGAGTCAGTTGAGCGAACACCACTTCTTCACGTCACCATGCATTCATGATTCCCTCCTCTCGCTACACATCAATGCGCTTTTGGAAATAAAAACCTGGCAGTGCCCCAGAAACTGTTTTGTAACCTGCTGCTTCCCTTAATGGAATGTAGTAGATACTTTTTCACCTCAGTTGCAAAAAGGAAAGGGACCCGGAGATGGCGGGAGGGGAAGGGACGGGATGGGAGAGGAAGGCAATCAAAGGGACTAAGACTGTCGTGTTGGTGCACCTTCGTGCATGAGGGGTGTAATCATTCCGTACTGCAAATGTGGACTAATAAAAACATTAAAGTGGGAAATAAAAAAAACTCAAAGGATCGGTTTTATGGCAAGCAAATCATATTTCAAACTTTAAACAACAGACGCCAGTGAGGGCAAACCTAAAGAAAGAATTTTACTTGCCTTCAGCGGTTCCAGGGCTAAACCTGGGGTCTTATGCACACTAGGCAGACGCTGTAGCACTAGGCTCGCCTTGGCCTCGGCCCTCAAGTGCCGCTGTCCAGACCTCCTGGTGACCCTCACCAGAGTCCCCCAAATTGAAAAGCTGTCCGCAAGGACAGCACAACTCTGGGCTGGGGACAGAGCAAGGCTGTACTGCTGGCTGTCATGACACTCATGGGTGAGAAACAGGATGGCGGCTGGGACTAAAGCTCCTGGCCTTGCTTTTCCGTATTCTTCGCTGGCTGGCTTTTCTCAGCATGCCACACATGAGCCAGTACTATTTTGTTCACGTCTCGAGGAGCTGCTGGTGGGCAGAGACCAGGGCCTTCCATAGCAGCCTTCCTACCCAGGGCCTGCATGGTGCCTGACACACAGAGGCCACTCGGTCAGCATCCAACTGAGCGAAACAGCAGCTCAGACCCCGCTATGAAGGCTAAAGAAGGAAACAGAGTCCCATCTCAGGAGAACTGCAGTAACCTCAACCATACTCCTCCCCTGTTCTCGGTGCGTAATGATTACTGACAGCTCATGATTTAAGAAAGAGTTCTAGGTTGCTAATTTGAATACATATAAAACATCTGAATTAAAGAAATGAAATCTTACGAGAATTTCAGAAGGGGGTCCAGACCACGTCCTGGGAATTCATTGAGAATCTCCATAGCGGTTACATAACCTACAGTTGGAATTCCTTCGGTGTAATCACTGCCAAGCAAGTAGGCCAGATTTATTAATTTGTTCCGGTCCAACCCTACAAGATTATTAATAATAATGACCACCATTATTGTTAATACTTCTTTGATAGGGATTTTTATGCAGCACTTAGAAACACTTCATTGTATAAACTGTGTGTATACACATCCTCAGCCAATAGCCAAAGGTAATTTTCTTATGATTCAAAAGTAGATGACTTTTAAATGACGTTCTGTACTGTCATCAGGCATCACAGCTTTCAATTTCCTCCACCACTGACCTCCAGGAAGCTCTGCAGCCTGCACCTCTGGACCCCACAGCCACTCACACCCAGCCAGCACCCCCATCCCAGTAGGCACCTCAACCTCACACATCCAGACCAGGGTGCGTCCTCTCTTCCTGCTCCGCTCTGCTCTCTCCTCCGCCTCTCCTGTCACTGAGAGCCAGGCCACTCCACCAGCTGCTCAGAAGTCTCACCTGAGTCCCTTCCCACTCTCCGATGTCACCTCTTCCACCTGTCCTCCCTCATGACCCTGCCTCATTTCCCTGGAGCGCAAGCTTCCGCCTCTCCCACCACCTGCTAGGCCCCTGCCCTAAGGGTGCCTCTGAATAAAGTCCTTCCTGGACACAGCACACACTTCTCACTACAGCTCGCTTCTCACTTTCCTGCTGGATTGTTCCATAGGCTCCACGCTGCCAACGGTCAAATTACGACAATGTATTTGTTCATCACCTGATTCTCTCCCTAGACTGCCTCAACTTCTGCTGTTTCCTATGGTCAGGCATAACCGCACACAGGAGTCACTCAGACAACCACCGGACAATGCAGGCCCGGCAGACTTCACCTGCTTTCCTGTCTCTCCCACTCCCGGGAGATCTGGGCAACTGGTCAACCAACCAATCAAGATGATCAGTCTGCAGAAAAGCCAGACATGTACTCAGATTTTAACCTTGGAAGTCTAATTTTAAGAAGCCTGTTCCTCTAATAAGCAAGTCTTTGAAAACTTGTATGGATCTACCATTTCCAATTTAGTTCCCCAAGCAGGAGAAAATTCACGGTAAATTTCAGAAAGTTATCCTGGGAGTCTTACCTAATTGGTTGTGAAAGTCCACATATTGGTAATATTCTACGAACTTGTTTTTATTAAAAAAGTTCTTGTAGACATGCCGTGCTCCGAAGAGCCAGATATCGCTGTCATCAGTGATGGTTCCCGAAGTCTGATCGGTGAGGTCCAGGATGGCGCACTGGGCCTCGGCTTCCATGGGTGCCTGGATGTAGGGGACGCCAAAGAGGCGCAGGAGCTCCTGAAGCAACAGACACAGTGACCCCGGGGAAATGCAGGACCGGCCCTGACCAAAAGGGGGAGCAGCGCCTCCGCAGTCACTGGGCGCATGCGCCGAGGAGTTTGGGCAGGAGGAAGGGCACTGCACCTACCTGGCTTTCCAGGAACATCTGTCCTGTGACAGTGGACGCCACCCGCTCTTGCTGCTGTTTTTGAGCGTGCAGTGAATTCTGCTGTGCTAAAAGTTCACTCTCCAGGGTGTCCAGCTCCTCCTACAACATGGTTTTTTTGGTGTGTGAGTATATTCATCCAGTTGGGCTCAAGCCAGCATTTCATCTGGCTGAAACATCCAACAAGCCTTTCCTCCTTAGGAAGTACTCCTCTTGGATTTCTGAGCAAAACTTTGCCGTTTTCTTTTGAGTCTCCTCACTAAGTCACAGGGAAAGTGGGGTCTACCCCAGGTAGTAACCTTCAGGAGCAGCCAGCAGAAAGACGCACTGTGAACAGCTAAGAGATAACCAAAACACTGCCCAAAACTCAAAAGCTACTCATCCTGGCTTCTTGGCAACAGAGTTAAAACACAGCGGTGCATTATTACCAAATCAATATCTTGCCATTCGTTGAACGAGTCCTCTTCATCTCTCGCAGCTTCCTTATGTGGCTCCATGCCTGAGTCCTGGCTTTCCGAGCCATCATGCAGGAGGCTCTGGGTATCATCAGTGGGTTCTCCCTCCTCAGTTCCTCCTGGCTCCTCTTCCTGCTGTTCAGGGGGGAGTTCGGAAGCTCCGTCCGAGTCAGGCTGAAGTTCATCATCACTGGCCACACTCTGCACTTCAATGAAACTCCCTGCACCAAAATAATAAACTTATTTCTTCTACAGGTAACGGGCATCCAGAAACCATACAGATTTTTCAAAAGAAAACATGTAAATAGCACGCTACTAGTGAATAATTTAATCACAAATGCCTGTAACTTCAAGAGAAGCCTTTTCAATTAGATAACTGCCTTTGAAAGTAGAAACCAAACACAAAGATTTTAATATTAGCTTTATACAAATCTGTTCTAAGCTAGCTGATGTTTTAAGGGTTCAAAAAGGAGAATTATCAAAGCACAAGTACGTAGACAATCAGAGATTGTTCAGTGTTTCAATGCTATTTTGGTATATTTAAAGCAAAGACTAAAACTAAAAGAATCCTACAAAGTAGTCAGGAGAAACAGCTCTTCCTCTCCTGCTTTCTTTCCCTCCTCTCATCTTTTTAGGTAGGTAAGGCCAATCCGGCTGGATTTGAGGAGATAATTAGGAGAGGAAGGGGCTGAGCCAGGGAGGAGACAGTGGGATGGAGTGAAGTTTAAAATAAAAAAAGCAGCCCATAAGCAAACACACAGAAGAACAGGGGAGAAAGTTTTCTCACTGTTAGGAAAAATGTAAAAGACAGAGGAGGCTGGAACAACTCCTGGGATGTTGGACTGAATCATGGGTATCAATGTGAATTCATGGATCTTAATAAACAGGCATAGAAACAGATACAAATGCTGTGCTGTGTGCTGTGTGCTGTGTGTGTACAGAAACGTTTCCTGGCTTGTGGTGAGCACACCCAGCATCCAGCTCATGGTTTCTGAACACCTGGCCCCACCGCAAGGACCAGGCTGCTGGTGCAACGGATTGGGCAGAGTATGTATAAGATAAGCCCGGAAATCTAGGACATGCTTAAAATAAAACAGGGAGCTGTGAAAAGCCAGAGGAAGCAGCTTAGAGAGGACCCCACTGGCCCAGCTCAGACAATGAGGGCAGCAAAGTGAGTTTCGACATTATCCGAATGTAACTCACTAAATAAAACCGAAGTCCAGAGTCTACACTGAATTTGAAAAAATGAGAATGGAACGATCGTCCCTACAGCAGGATGCTGACTAGCAAACATTACGGAAGATGAGCGAGAAAATCACCGTTTGGCAATCATCACAACAGCGATTAATTCGGATAAAAACCAATGGGATGGCAAATAAGTGGAAGGTTTGTTCCTGTGTAGCGTTATTTTCATGGCCCCTAAATTCCTTTCCACAAAATACTCATTACAAAGGGGCAACGGTAACTTCAGACTAAACCTGACAAACCCCAGGACACAGATGGAGGGTAGCGGACAGAAAGCACGACCACCACGGACGGACGGACGGAAGACACAGTAAAATAAATGTGGCAAGAATGCCACGCAGTGAAGCTCTGTATGAAGGAACCAGACTTTTCCGTAATATTCTTTCTACTTTTTAAAGCTTGCAATTATTTCAAAATTTAAAAAAAAAATTCAATAAGCTAGTTTTACCTTCTTCAACCAGGGCATCCTCTCCCTTCAACAAAAGCCAAGCAGGGCGCCAGGCTTCCAGTCCCAGCTGGGCGTCGCTGGAAGTGGCCTCCCTTCCCTCCCGTCCGTAGCGGGGCTACCTGAAGGGTCTCCGACTTGGGGTCCCTCCGGGCCGCACCCCTAAAGGAGAGGGCACCCACCGTCGGACTCGCTGTCCTCAGAGTCAGACTCGCTCTCCTCCGAGTCGGTTCCCGCCGGCTCCAAGGACTCCGGAACTGAAATGAACCGCTGGCCCGCAGGCTGAGTTTTCTCCGGTTCCTGGGCGTTTTGGGGGAAATTCCCAGGCTCCTCGGCACGAGCAGGAGCAGGCGCTGCATCGTCGAAGGCAGAAGCCGCAGCGGCCGCCCCGCCGGCGACTTCGGAA